TGTCCTTAGGATGTTGTTGAATACATAAGAGACTAATGTGGATGCATCTCAATACTTCCGATAGAGTGCAAGATTCTTGTACAAATGAATCAATTAGTTCTGAAAGATTTCCTTCTTTCCACAATCTCCAGGCCTAAATACATATTTAAACTATTTTTCATTTTCTAGTTCTAGGAAGGTAAGGAAGTAGCTCTTGAATCTTGTTACTTACATGTCCAATAAGGTTAAGGCTATTATTGAGATGGTAAAACCCTTAGTTCTTCTTTCCACTTATTATCTCCAACAACAATATTCCGAAGCTGAAGACATCAGATTTTATTGAGAATTGCCCATCAATGGCATATTTCGATGCCATATGACCACTGCAAAAAATAATTAATACAAATTATATTGCTGTAGATTTTGTAGTTAATTAGGTAGCATAGAGAGGGCTTACTAGGTTCCAACTACTCTCTCTGTGTTCCCCTTAGATTGTTCTCCTCCAAATGTTCTAGCCAAGCCAAAGTTAGAAATTTTGGGATTCATTTCACTATCAAGCAAAACATTGCTTACTTTGAGATCCCTATGGATGATCCGCAATCGAGAATCTTGATGTAGATAGACAAGCCCTCTAGCAATTCCACAAATAATGTGAAAACGCCTCGACCAATCTAATAGATTCCTTCTTGTATGGTCTGTCACATAACATGTTCATCCTATTAATGTAGCGTTCAACTAGAGTTTTTGAAAAAGAGTTGCATTGAAAAAGGAAAAGTATTGCGATGAATTTATATACTTTTACAAAGTTAATTGAATGGTTTAACAAGAATCCTAACCAAAAATGAAGAAGTCCAAACTTTTATTGGGCATATATTCGTAAATCAGCATTTTCTCCTCCCCCTGAATGCAGTATCCTAGAAGCTTTACAAGATTTTGATGTTGAAGTTTGACTATAAGTGCTACTTCATTCTTAAACTCAGCTATTCCTTATCCCGAGCTTCTTGAGAGCCTCTTCACAGCAATTTCTTTTCCATCTGGTAGAGTACCCTGCAAAAGTGTATTTGCAAAGTTGATTATTACTTTTTGACAAAGACTTCTTTTCCTAATAGTCATTTTTCCAAAAGCACTTAAAATTTACCTTGTATATAGGCCCAAAGCCACCTTCTCCTAGCTTGTTGTTTGAAGATAAGTTATTAGTGGCATTTGATATTAAATCTAACTCAAATGATGGGAGCTCCATATCTTCAATTTGTCTTTCATTACTGCTGCCATTTTCTCTTCCTGAGAGGATGAAGAATTTACCAAAATCAAATGGTGAGAAAAGAACCAGTAGAAGTTTCTTTCAATATTTAATGGAACATGATTTGTTAAGTCAAAGAAACGTATATACCTTCTATGCTTCGATGGCTCCTTCGAATGTAGTAGGTGACTGCAAGAACACCAATAACTACAAGAATGGCAGTTGGAATTATCAGTCCTGCCAAAATTTTAGTCTTGCCTTTTGTCTCTTCGTGGTCTAATTCAATAAAGCAAAGAAGAAATATATGAATTAGTATCATAGCAATGAAATAGTTTCACAAATTAACTGAAAATAGAACTGGAAACACCCAATATAAATAGTAATCGTAAGAAACTTCAGGAAACACTGAAATATCTAACCCAATACCTGAATCAGAAAAAGCCATTCGAATGTATAAATCCTGTCCAGCAGATTGGAGGTCTTTAAGATCAATCAGATCACCAAACCAAATTGCACAACCACTGCCTTCTTTAATGTCCAAGGTTGTATAGGCCGTACAAGAACAATTCTCTAAGCATTTGGCCCTACACTCTTTGAGGTTCATACTTTTATTCACCCAAGAACGTGTAGTATCTGGCAATTTCAGCCCACCAACTTTCATAAATCCATCACCTTTATGGCAGTCTAAAGGTTTATTACGCACACATCCCTGAAACCAGTCTTCTGAGCTTTCTTCTTGTGATATCAGCTAGAATCCTTTTAAACATTTACAAGGCGGTAGCACAGTATTGACACAGATCGCGTATGCCCCACAAGTCCCATAGTAGTCACACTCATCCCACGGAAAATAACTGAACCTTGTCCAAGTCTGAGTGTCTTTATTCCACAAATAGCGTTCCCTCCTACTGGAAGTTTGGTTCAAAATAAGCTTTGTGATTGTTGATTTGTTTCTGAGGTAAATTATGTAGTAAACCTCCTCTTCATTTGAGACTAAGCTGAACGTGAACCACGGATTTGGCTTCAACTGGGGTGTACCACTCATTGCAATGCCATTCCAGGGGCCTGTCCGAAAGTATTTTCTCGAGCCTTTCCAAATAACAAACTCGGGATTATTATTTGGCACTATCCCCATAGTTAAGTCTCCAGGGCACGGATCATTTGTGGTCTTCCAAGCTGATAGTTGGCGATTAAGTCCACTCTTAAAGTCCAATCCAAGTTTCATATCCGGCAGCAAAGTATCAGTTGGATAGTCAAAGCTTTGCCACAAAATACCAGCATTTCTATCCTGTAGAACAAGATTTCCAGAATCCAGGAGCTGCACTACTGGGTTTTGAGCTTCTTTCTTTGAGTTTGATGCCCAAACAACACTCCCGCTTTGATTGAGAAGTACCAGATTACCTTTGCTGTTTATCATCAAAACACCAGACGTGTCATCAATCGGCTCGCACCTGTTTGCAACCCAAACAACGTTTTGAACTGGGACATTCTTGAACCAAATTCCCAAGTAACGGCTCTTGGCTGAACTTCCAGTCTGAAGAATCCCAGTTCAAAGCTTCCATCACTAGAAACCAAGGTTCTACTGTCACTAAGATTAGTGGATGAGGTGATGATATCAGCTCCACCTGAGAATCTAGAGAAGAAAAACAGTAAGACAATGATAATCATTGTTGTTAAAATCGCGAGTTATCTCGTAAACTCGCACGATTTTACGTTCTTAGGGATTGAAAATGAGTTAAATCATCTATAAAATCGGGATTTCCCAAACTCGTGGTGAACTCACCGTAAACTCGTAAAATCGTTTGAAATCGGGAGTTTACAAAATCTGGACTTTTGCATCGGATCTCACCAGATCGGCTTTGAACTTGCCACCCATGCTTCCAATTTCGGGTGTAAACTTCCCTTTGTTTGATTTAGAAACTCTTACTGATGATCTGTTTCCAAAAGGAGCAAAGAATCATGGAGAGAGGAAGCTTAAATGGAGCAAAATGAAAGAAATCTATTGCCCAAAAAAAGGAACAAGGGTGAAGGAGGGAAACTGAGTACGGAGAAAACAATGAAGGTTAAGGGATCGAGT